AATAATTAAAAGCTCAACACAAAAATGAACTAAATCAGCTTAAGTTCCTCAGAAAATAAACTTACAGTGGAGGTGATATTGTCCTCCTGGTAACACAGATGAATCCAGTTAGGATACTTAATTTTTGCGTTAGTTCAGATGGAGGTAATCAAATTTTTAGTAGGAATGATTCAAGGTGATGTTGTGATCAGTGTGCAAAGAAGCAGCCAATGTTAGCAAGATAAAAGGGATCCGAGTCTTCAAATGCCACCTTTTTTGTCATCCAGTAAAGTGTAAATGTTAACCACTTTTGGATCAAATTACTTCAGACGTTTCAATTTGTCATGAACAGAAATGGCAGGCTGCAACGTGAGGCCTGTAACGCTGTCCTTTTAAACTGCTACACTAATGAAGGCAGATTGATATGACTCAGATTCCTTCTGCGAACAGCAAAGATGTGACAAACATGCATGGTTGATCAGCATACAGAAGCAGGGATAATCATTTCTTGTAGCTGGTGACAAAACCAGTTAGGGTCAATACAAATTACCCATTCAGCCATCCATGAGTATTTCAGACAGTTAAGCACAGCGAGTTTTGTCCAATTCATTTATTTTTAATCAGAAGCAGCACTGCTGATTTTAAAACTATAAAAGTGTCACTTTTACCATCTGAAATATTTGTGGCTTTAGAATTTAGACTAAGAATGAATTACCAATCAGTTTGCATGCAGTAGTGTTGTTTTCAGTGAGACACAAGATGTCCAACTGAGCACAACTTTCTCGATTGGTCAAGAAGTCTCGTGGTGCCTCAGCATTTTCCATGATTGGGTGAAGACCGGCGGATAATGGATGTCATGTTCACAGCATGGCTTGTTCACGAAGAAAAAAAAAAAAAAAAAGGCACGTGGCATCTTCTTTGAATTGAAAACACATGCTCGGATACTGCCTACATTAACATCTGACGTCAAGAAAAGACACTGCAAACATTGTTCCTTCTGCCCTTGTTTCCACCTTCCCAGGAAAAAAAAAAAAGACACATTCAGGGAGGAGTGGAGTGTGGGGGAAATTGGGAGAGGCAGGGGGCAGACTGGCAGACAGGAGAGGGTTGAGGGGCAGTTGCAACCTTACCGGGGCTTCCGGCCCATCAGCGTGAGATAGCCATCATAGAGCAGGGCTGGCAGCGTGTGGCTGACAGTGGTCCAGTACTGATTAGTAAAGGGGTTGGAGCGTAGATTGACATTGGGCCTTCTGAAAGCCTGCTCTAAGGGATTGGTCTTGAAGGACATGTTTATACAGTACTCTGTAGGAGAGAGAATCACATATGACGGAACAGGAAGGACACAGAGGACGAGAAGAAAAGGAATGCACGTTCATTTTCTCCTCCTTTTGATACAAGGAAAGACGCAGGCCCACTGTAATCGTCTCATTAGCAGCACAACAGAACACTGGATCTAGTCACTGGAAACAAAACAAGACAGTGTGAGTCCACTTCAGTCCATTTATGAGCTGGACTGAAGTGAACTTGGTGCCGAGGTTTTGGAAATCTAACTGAAAATGCAAACATTAGAAAGACGCAAAGAGTGCAGAATCCAGCATGTTCGGGAGAGCAGCTGGGTTATACATTCTTCACCTGCAAAACTGCACACAAGCATCTTTAACACAGCAGCACTGCAGCTATGACGTTAGGCTACTTCGATAAAGGGTGACAGTGTAAGCCGGCGGAAATGCGAGTGTGTGTTTGGGGTAGGGGTTCTGTTAGAACAGCAGCGGCACGGCACATCCGAAACGGCAATGACGAGGTTACCTGGGTTCTCGTCCAATCAGCCTGAGGTACAGATCATAGAGGAAGGCCGGAGCTTTGTGGCTCACGGCAATCCAGTACTGATTGATTAGGTGATTGGATGTGAGATTAACATTGGGCCGACGGAAGGCCTGCTCAAGGGGGTTCCTCTTGAATGTGGATATTACATGGTACTCTAAGAAACAGAAGGTTGTTCAACACAAGTCATCAATGAGCAGCTTTAAGATTGCCGTTACATTGTTTTGCCTTTATGACTGGCTAGAAGGGCGAGCCATGTGGGAAAACTATAGTATATGTTCTGCAGATATACAAAGCCACAAGGTTTGTACCGGAACTAGAAAAAGTTAGATTCCTAGTTTACAAGTGCCTTAGCTGTTAGGAAACTAGCTAGACAAAAAGGTGCTAATACAATAACAAATAATGGTGAATAACATCAAGCATCTAAAAATGGCAGCATTACAGGGGATGAGGTGTCATAACAGCAACTGATGCAACCAAATGTGCACCTATCAGCCTGCAACTGCTGCGATTGGCCTGTTCAGTCCTGTTGACTCCTCCTATACATTTGAGCTACTCGTTACTGCTGTTGATTGGCTCAGTGTGAGAATAATCACACTTCACTGCAATATGAGAACTCAGACAGCAACCTGTCCAAACTATCGAAATGGATGTGAATGTATGCTCCATGTGGAGACATTTTTTTTTGTAATTTCTTTAAGTAGTCCTCAGGAACTGCTCTCCAGGGTTCTTTAAAGGCATTTAAAGCTCTTCTTTGAATTTTGCATGCCCTTTGTTCCATTCTCTGTCGAGATGAACCTACACTTTCCCCATCCAGGTTTACTGTGTGTTCAGGATCATCGTCATGCTGAAAAATGAAACTGTTGCCAAGCAGATGGTACTGCATAGTGGATCAGTCTACAGAGGCACGTTTGTGTTCACACTTCCAATTTTGACAAGATAACACCCAACAACACTGGGTGAAATATAGCCACAAACCATGAGAGAGCCTCCACCCTGCTCTATAGATGGATGTAGACACTCAGGCTACGTCCACACGTACACGGGTATTTTTGAAAACAGAGATTTTCCGTTTTCATTTTAAAAAATAATCCCGTCCACACGTAAAGGCAGAAATGAAGGAAAACGCTGCTAGGAACATGCCAAAGCAGCAGGTGGCGCTATATTCCTAACCGTGCAGAAATGTTGGCCAATCAGAAGTCTAGAAGCCTCG